TATATATATATATATATGTAAACAATTATAGGTTTATAGAGAAAAAAAAGCATTGTTATGTTTTGCTTTCATGTTGAAAAAAAATTAATCCAAATGTAGGTTTATCTATGATTGATCCAACTGAAGTAAGTTTGTTTGAAGTTTAGCAGAAAGCTACACAACAGATTTATCTGTTCTGCACACCATGAATATTGAAACCTGGTTTCTAGTGTTGTAAATCAATAGATATACTGCTGTGCCACTGAGGAACCCAACTGCAGTAAGAAGTATTGGTGTAAATGTTGTATCTTTCTGGCAATAAGTGATGTGCTACAATCCAAAACATGAAAAATATTTGATTTCTGACTGGAAGATGACCAACACAAGTATGTCTTGGCCAATAATCGCAAACTGACTAACAATTCAGATGCTGATAAGTCAGCAAAGCAAATATGCTGATAAAATTTGTCAAATGGTAAACAAAATCAGTTCTTGTTCAATAGGCAGAAGGCTAATATTACTATATTTGTTTTGTTGAGACTAATATATTTAAGTTTGTGGTACTAAAATTAACACAATTATAACTGTATTATTATGATTAACTTAGTTACAATTATGTTAGTGCAATTACAACACTATAATTATATTCCATCATTAGAGGTGCATAGATATAGACATATCAGTAGGCCTATCAGCCAATGTTTTTGTTGTAACTGATAATTTACACCAATATCTTTGCTTGCTGTTGTATAGAATGTTGTGACACAAACAGTTGAGACAACAATGTACTTGCTATAGTGTGCAATATGCAACTGTTATCTGATGTAAATATGTCTCAAAAGAGCATGATTTGGAATTTCTTAGTGTTTGAAAATAACATAATAGCTGATCACAAACTATGTGCTAAAAATTGGTGTGGAGATAACACTGGTAGATATTTTAACACAACAGATTTAATACGTCACTTCAAAGTCACCCTGCTGAATAATGTGATTTCCAAAAGGTTGCTACAGAAAAGAAAAGGACCAGATAAATAACTTGCATCAAAGCAGGTATGATTGCTTCAAGCACTAAAAGCTTCAGAGAAATTAGATCAAAAAGATTCCATAGCAAAAGAAATTACCCATCATTTAATGGAATTTACAGCTCTGAATGATCAGCCATTTGTTTGGTTGTAGAAGATAATGGATTCTGCTGTCTCACTGAATGTCTGCAGTCTTGTTACACAATGCCAAGTAGAAGGTTTATGTCTGACACTGTTCTGCCATAACTGATCAGTGCCATTTTAGAATACACATAGATGCTACTTGAAGCTTGATGTATCAGAACTAGGCTTTATGACTGGTATATGGAGCTCTGATGTGTTGCCAATGCTGAGTCTAATTGCAAAATAGACAGGAATTACAATTTACAGAAGGTAGTAATACAAATCCACAAGTTCAGCAGCTCCTTTATGGTGGTAGTTATTTCAAAGCTTTTGACAAAATGTTTGCAATGTGGAAAATGATAAGTATCAAAATTAATATGATGATCAGGAATAATGAAAGAAACACTGAGAATGCAATTCTAGACTCTGGTTTGCCAAGCTTGCTTTGTGCAGCACACAAAATTCAGTTCATTGTGAATGAAGGTGTGTTAACACAGTGCAATGTTCAACAAATGATTATTGGAAAATTATTGTTGGGCACTTCAAACCCTCCCTGCTAGCCTATTCTCATCTGCAAGATGTGCAGAATGAGCTCTGAATGTCTTTCAAAAGGTTACAGCAAATAACACAGAGGTGGAACAGTATTTCTTACATACTGCAAACCTTTTGGAGCAGAAGCACACTCTTGGAGCTTACGTTACTGACTATGAAATCCCTGCAACCCTCACTAGGCATCAATAGGAATAGATTGAAATAGTAACAGTCTTAGTAGCTTTTGAAGAACTAAATGTGAAGTTTCTTTTTGGCTTTAGATGCTGAAGCTATCTCTATCGACAGAGGCTTTGAAATGACTTTCAACTCTATCTCTACGGGTCTCTTATAGTCACGGGTCAAAGGCCATGTCATCTTGTTTGTAGACTCGCATTCAAAATTTTATTGAACTACTATTTTATGAATGTATGTCAATAAGTTTTGTATCAAATTGTAGGTTATAATTCAAATTTTAGTATCATAAATTTGTTAATTTTTAATTTAAAAGTACATATTAAAAAAATCTTAAATTGATTTTTGTGTATCACGTGGGTATGATGAATACAGCATTGGTTCATATTATATGTTTGTGATGTCCAAATACAAAGTCTATAGTTTCTTATGAATTAGGAACTCAAATTTCCATTATTGACAAGCTAGAATATAAAAGAAGTTCCTATCTTTTCTATTTGCTGAGATATCACTACATTTACTGAATCAAACACAGTGGCCCTGCCCAACTCTGTCCATTTTTGGGAAACTTGCTTACATATATCTACTTCTGTCTATGAAGTGTGAATAACCAATCAAAAGCCCAGAATGTCCCCTTAGTGGCTTTCTCAGCCTCTTTGAAGTAATCGGGCATCAAACTCATTCTTTTGATGCTAGATTTCAAGTGGTAAAGTAAGACTTTAGTGAGCTCAAATTTCATATTTTTTTAGACCCAAATACAGCTTATTTATTAAGCATGATAAATTATAGTGGAATTCTGTGGTACTGATATAGTAATTTACGATTTTTGATTATTTTAAAATGTATATATAAAACCTAAAAAAAAATAAATAAAAAAAATTTTCATTTCACATCCTCCATGTGCAAAATTTGATACGACTTACAGCAAGCAGCAAATGAGTACAAAGTTTGTAACTAGAATAGAATTGTGTTCCATAATTCTTTATTTACTTTTCTATGTTTTTAGAAAGATAACTTAAAGTTAAGAACTTATTTGTAAATAGTAATAATGTATATACATATATAATGTATTATAACTGAAATTTCACTGTATTTTACAAAATACTAGTCCACTAAAACACAGCCAAGACAGGTCACTTTGCAAATGCCAGTTTTATATTAATGGATATGGTAACAAGTGCACATGCACCACGTTATTGCAACTTCTATAATGTTAGCCAGGCATGGCTGAATGGTCAACATAATAAAAAGAATAAATATATATAAATGTATAATGTTATGAAACTTAAGCTACTTAAACTAAACATCTGAGTTTTCATGTTATAATCTGTAGTCATTCTAGAACAAAAAAAACAGAAGTTATATTTATTTCCTAATTTTTTATGGTTATTACAAGGTTAGTCAAATCAACCCAACCCATACAGAGATACAGTAATGAAAATAACAGATAAAATAGTTTGTTTCTAAAAAAAACAGTTGATAATTATCTGGAGGTTATAAAGATTTCACACGTGAAATTTAAAAACGTTCTGATGCATAAAAGTACTTTTAATCTTAAAATCCAAATTACTTTGCATTTTGGATAGTCAACATTCTGAAAGAAAAATTTCATGAGAAAATCTTTAATTAAAAAACCCGATATTTTATGCGCGAACCCAAATAACCCAAAACATCTTGTAAAGATACGTGTACATTATCAAAAATCTTAGTATAATTACTCTCATGGATACTTTCGTGGTTACAAGCTGGGTTGAGCCCACCCAGTCCGTGATGATAGGGTTAAACAAAGTTTCAGATGCAAACCACAGAACTGAAACTATGAAAGTCACTTTGCTGGAGGCCGTGGAAATGCAGTTTAGTGAAATACAGTCAGAATACCTCTACTTCATCACAGACTTGCTAGATCTAAGATACAAGGGCAGGAGCTTTATCAACACTGACAAAAATTTGCTTGCTGTGCAAATTTTGACACATCTGGAACAAAAGAAAGCAAAATACAATGAAAAAAGAACACAAGAACTGAAGAACCTCTCACAAAGAAATCACAGCAAGCAGATGATGGCACTTCTATAAAATGCACCAGTACCCTGTCTTTGATATATGATGAATAATTGGAGGAAAGAGTCACTGTGGTAGAAACTGATGGAATGAACAGCAGTGTTGTACTTCAGAAACAGTTACCTCAATGAATTCCAAGAAGCAGACAAAAACTGCAATATAGGGAAAGCAATAAAGATAGTTCTCCCACTTTGGTTGAAGTGTAGCAGTGTTTATGTCAAACAACTGTTTAGTTCTGCACCACATCGTGGACAAGAAGACAAACATGTTGATGTGTGATAAAGTTGTAATCTTTACTGTGAAGAAGAACCTCACACTCAAACTAGGAAGCCATAAGTATAATTCAGATTTTTTTAATTACTTAAACTTATTATTATTAGTTTTTATTACTACTGCTACTGTTTCTTCTGTCTTGATGTACAATTCTTGCAAGCATATTCACACTGTATTTTGAAGCCATAAGACATTCTTTATCGTCTGAAGTGGCATAGTTGTTGTAAATAAATGTAAAATAAATTGAATAGCTTTATGATGAAAGTGGTAAAAGTTAATAATGTTTACATGTATAAAGTTTACTAAAAACTAACAACAGTTAATTACAATTTAGAAGTTAATATTTTGTGTGTATTTTTATTTTGCTAAATGTTTCTAGAAACAAAGTATTTAAACATTTATGATAAATGCAACCAGAAAGAAAGAAAAAAAAATCTAACGGTTAAGTTTCAATTTGTTTCAGTAGAGTACCTTACATTTTGGGCAATCATCAGCTACTGGTGTCAGCCAAGAAAATCTTAGTCGTTTTGGCCCTATGCAGCATAGTTTACAAGAGTTGTGTCTTTGTTACTTATGCTAAGGTAACTATATATCACCAATACTCATAACTATGATTGTGTTAATATATGAATATATGCCTAACTAAAGCTAACATATCAAAAAATAATGTCTTACCATTTCTTTTTCTACATTTTCACTTGAAGATTCCACATTTTCTGTCTCTGTACTTATTTCTGGTGCTGTTCATATATCAAAATTACCAATTTAAGTTAAACATAAGTCACCTTTTTTTGCAAAATTTAATATACTGAAAATTCACAAGTATCAAACACAACTATACTTTTTTTACCAATAATAGATAAATAAAACCAAGAATAACACTTGAATGTAGTGGTGATTCTAAGTATTGTGCTATTAGAAAATGTTCAAATATGATTCGGTTTTTAAGATATCCTCCACACGACTACTTTGATATGTTAACTACCAACTGGAGTCTACCATTTGATAAGAGTAGTAAAATATCACAATTTAAGGCATCACTGGCATAGTTCAATTCAGTACTCATCTATCAAGAATAATAAAAGAAATATGGTATGAAACTGTGTTAGTTTTGCTAATTTCTTCTCATTCAATAACAATGTTATAATTGCATATTTCCTTAAAAGTTGAGAATGTCAGCATTTTACGTTCTCTTGTTAAAATAATAAAATTAGGCTTAAGTGTTTCATTGCCAAATGCTATTTACTGTTTTCCATAAATTTTATTAGTTTGTTTGTTATGAATTTTCGTAAAGCTACACGAGGGTTATCACTAGAGGGAAAGTAGGTAGTCATCACCACCCACCGCCAACTCTTGGGCTACTCTTTTACCAACGAATAGTGGGATTCACCGTTACATTATAATGCCCCCATGGCTGAAAGAGTGAGCATGTTTGGTGTGACGGGGATTCAAACCCACTATCATTTTCATTTACTACCAGTTTTTCTAAAGTAATGTATTAAGGCCAAATAATACTAAGAAAAAGAAAATATTTAATTTCATGACTTTGACAGGCTATCCAAAATTTTATTAGTGTGTATAGTTTTCATTTGTTTTACAAATAACCAAATAACATCTGTGACAGTTTGAATCACTGGACATAATGGCTTGTACAGAAAAGAAAAATCATTGGTTTCCTTTGCTTTCATATTTTAAAGTTTATCCATGATCCAACTGCAATAGCATATATTGGTTTTAATGTTAAATCATGCATGCTTGAAGTGGGTGATGTGCTGCAATTCAAAACAATTTTATTACTTATTAACCCTATGACAACTAGTGCCATTTTAAAATTCACTGAGTAATATTCAAAACATAATTAAACCACTTTACTATCAATGTATTTAATGAAATTATTATTATCAAGTACATTATATTTCTAAGTTTTAATTCCTTTGTTCCAAAAAAACCTTTAAATAAAATACTTAAAAGTTCAGTTTTGTTGTCACGTGATCCACAAGCTAAAAAAAAATCTCAACTTTTACAGCCTTTGTATTGAATGGAATAACCCTAGCCCTGTACATCTGTGTCTAGACAATAAGTATGTTTAGTTTCACTACTGACACTAATATTTCAAAGTTCTTTGGACAAATCGTGTAGAAACAAGTGATAAGTTTTGCCAGCCACTGATGGGTGCCACACCCACCAACCTATACATAAGGTTGAGTTTGCATGCTACATCTACATCCAACATACACATGTGTATAGTCATTAGAAAGAGCTCATTTTACACTGTAATCCAACAACAGTTATTTTGAAATTGGTGCCAAGCTGTCAGTTATCAGGCAGCTGTAACTGCTTGTATTATCGTTGGCTGCTTTGTTCACGATAGCACTTTGGCTGTTTATTACCCGAATATGTTGTAGTTGGAGACAGTTAATTGTATTTATGTTTTACTTTTATATTTTAGTTAGTTACATATTATTTGTTTTAAAATTTGTATTTTAAAGTTTTGATAGTTTTCTAAACATTTTTGAATGTAATCATCACTCTCCAAGTGTTACATTACCATGTAAGTACAAAAAAGATTTTGCCAGAGGCTAAAGTATTTCTGCCAGTCATATCATTCTACCACTCATGGACATCTACTGATTTGTATCAACATAAATAATGAACGGTAAAGAACAGGAAAGGAAAATAAAACTTTAAAAATAAACTATTAAGTGAAAAGGGAATAGACGTGAAATTTCACAGGTGACTGAAAGAAGATATATTTAGATTATTCAATAAAGAGTTAAAAGGTATGAACATATTTCTATTTCTTAATGTTAAACATTTCATTGCACTGTATGTTGATGATAATAGCTGAAGTTAGTGATTTTGTGATATGGTAGAGAAAATGGCAAATAAAATACAAGCATTTATTTTAAAAAATGTTTGATAATCATTTAGCAGGTTCTAGAGATTATGCAAATGAAATGTGAAATGTGTAAGATGATAAACAGTATTTTTATACTCAACATAAAAAATCACCTTACAAGTGAACTATTCAGAGTCCAAGTGCAAATTACTACATTAAATAACAAATTTTCATAAGAAATAGTAGAAAAAAATCAAAATTAAATGTTTTACTTTTTTGAAACTATACACTTTTAGAAGTGTTCTTGTCAAATTTCAAACAATTTAATACACTAGTTTTACTTTTGAAATGAAATATAATGAGAGAAACATTACCTATGGACAATAACCACAGCTGGTAGTCATAGGGTTAAGTTAACTTCAGTAAATAACTAGGAGTTCTGCCCTACCTGAATCATCTTTTTCATCTTCAGGAGATGAGGAATTACATGACATGATAGGTATGGAAGAATACGATCCTTCTCGAGATTCACAAGGGGCTGTGCTTGAGTCTTTTAGTTCCACTTCATCATCTGCACTTACTGATTTGTATAAACGGTAGGACTTTTGCTTCCTGAAAATTTAATTCATACAGTTATATGAAATTGAAAATGTAACAATTCTAGTGATGGTCACCTGGCATGGCATACTGTTAGTCATAAAAACATGACTAGAAATCTTACTAAATACTTGTACAGATATGTTTCAATGTTCACGCTTAGTTTATGTTTTGCCTACTAAGAATTTTTTTTAACCTTGATAATATAATTTGTCTTGTCCTTAAAACATTTTTTCTATAGAATTCTGGAATTAAATGCACTGATTCCTCAAATATTTTGCTGTTTTACTTTCACAAATGTTCTTTAAGTTGGAAACATTTTTAATGCCACACACTATAGCTTTAACTTTATTTCACAGCTTTCAAAGTTATAACTGCAATGTTTTAGTAAGGCCAAAAATAAAATGTATGTGATTCAGGATGGATATATATAGTAAATAGGGATAAATTTACTTACACACACACACAAAAAGTTCATTCTCAAACTAATATGTAACAAGAAAAAAAAAGGAATCACTATTAAATTACATGAATTACAATTATTAAAATTGGTTAAACCCAACCTAAAATGTTTCGGCAATTCCACTTTGTCATCAATACAACTGATGGAATAATTGATTATCAACCCCCCCCCCCCAAAAAAAAAGACAGAAATATTGATACTTAAAAATATTAAGGATAAAAGAGTAAACACATCATAATTAAAGAAACTAATTTATTAGGTTATAGCATTAAACCTGTTGATAGTGTTTTTCAAACAAATCTTGTATGCTTACTTGAGATACTGTTTATATTTCAGGCAAAGTCTAATATTAGGAAAAATACATTTTATTTTCTCAGTGCTCTATGGGTTTATAAGAGAGTTGATATTAACCATCTATTACATGAATTATGGAAATTTGGTGGAAAAAAGTGTTTTCTTTGAATTTCTTAGTTAAATAGGTCTATATTGCACACAAAAATGTTTCTGTCAAAAATATTTTGGTTCATTACCTAGAAATAACATTGTTCAACTGAGGAAACAACAATAATTTCATGATTTATTTCAACTGTTACCTGCAAGTAAGAACATTCAACTACAGAACTGAAGCATTTGTATGTGTATTAAGCAACAAAGATTTATTATCTGTACTTTAAATAGTGCTAGTGTTAATGAACTTCTGGTTTTATTTGAGCAATTATTGTACTTTTAAATTTCATTCAAAATTAAGAGTTTAATGCAATGTATTATCATACATTTATGTTTAAATGTAGATATGGGAGGCTACACAGTGTGCTTGAACATTTACATGGTTATTACTAGTCATAAAACATTTTTACAACTACTGTTTCACTGGGAAATCCCATGCATTTTAAGAAAAGTTGTTTAAAAAATACACACCCACCCGTGCAGAGACAGGCAAGCTATAATCATATTTCAGATATAAATGAATGATGCACTGTGATTTGTCAAGTTATCAGTATTGGAGGTGGACTACCAAATCAACATGTAAATTCTATCTGTCCTTCATTTCAAAAATGATGAAGAAATAGCAGTGAATAGGGTCCAATAAAACTTGGTGATGCCCATGATTCAATAACATTCACACTTTAAAATCTTTTCAGTTTGTTCTAGTCATAGTGTTAGCAGTTTTTTTTGATAGGGTAAGCTCAGATAAAGGTTCTCATACATTTTGTTTTGCTCTAAATGTAAGATATCTAGTAGAATCAAAAAGATCAAAGTATATGGTATGAACATTTAAAACTTCAGTTAAAACTTCTAAATACTTTACTTACTTTCTCAAAAGATACTTGATCAACCACACTATAAAACAGATAAATATGATAGCTAAAACAATCCCTAAGATAGCAGGTATGATGGATTGTAGAGCACCGCTAACTTGTGGATCATCATGTGGTCCAACTTCATCCTTCTGATCTAAAAATTAAACATTTATGATGAAAAAAAAGTACTTGTAACCATATTCACATTTGTTGGTTAGTTTCAGTTATTTTAAAAATTCGTTAAGAATTGAAATTTTTCATCTTTTATTTCTTTAACACAAGAAGTCAAATGTATATGATATAACTACACACAAAACATCAATGTATTATAAGAAAAAACCTTTATGATGTTCATTAAGTTTAACTTAATTTAACTATAATATTAATGATACTTAAAAATATTAAAATAAAAAGTAAATAAATTATAAAGAAACTAATTTATTAGGTTATAGGCTTCATGAAGTTAATATTCTTCAATTACCTAAAAGGAATTTCAAAATGCACAATGTTCAATTTGTTCATTTATTACAGGAGTAAAACAATATCACGGTTAACACCAGTGTCTGCAAAATCTAAACACAATTTCATTCACTCAAGTGCATATAACACATATGTACTACAAAACTTTTCTTTCCCAAAACATCAACAATATTCTGTACATGTACATGGCAACACTTTTTAATGTACATACAATTCACTGTAATATCTTTTAAATTTTTTACAAGAAATACCTATCATGCCAAACAAAAGCATCATTACTGTATATAACTTGTGGTTATATACTACTCTTAAAAATATTTTGAAATGTCATAGAAAAGAGTATATACTTAACATAATGCATAAAAACCGACAGTTTGTTTTCAAAGTTGTCCTTTTTAACAATCTATGATAATTATGTCAAATCAATAACTTCACAGACTTTTTGCATTATAAGCAAACAAATTAGTAAAAAAAATGTAATGCATTGATTTTCAACAAGTTCTTAGAATACAAGTCCATTACACAAAAGAAATTATATATTTACTATTGACATTTAAGGTTTGTGTATACCACATTTAAGGTGTGTATATCTACTTATTAGGTAAGTACTAGTAGGTTTATTTAAAATATTGGGTAAAAGTCAGTGCTACATGTTTACTAGAAGGTACGTTACATATACAAACCATGTTCCATCTGGTATATGTTTACAGACAAAGGTCTCTTGCATTCAACGTTACTGTGACGACCTAGATTAAAAAATGATAATACACTTTTATGTTGAAGAAAAAACATCCACATACATAAACATTCTTAAGTAAACAGGTGCTGTATATTGTTACATATAAACCATAAATTCTCACCACTTCTTCAATAAGGAAATCTTAGTACAGCCTCATAATTTCTATAACATTAATTTCCATTCAATTATAACTTTAAGAAGAATGGTAACTGTAAAGGTTTTTCCATTATCAATTACTGTTCAAGTATTTCTTATTCTATTTCCCAACAACCTACTGTAAATTGGATGGAGTGTGGTATATAGGGTATTATACTGCTAGCCTAAATGCTCAAGTAAGCTATTCAATTGTGAAAAAGTGAGATACATTAAAACACAGAATATATGTACTATTGTACTGACCAGGAATGATTAGGTGAACAAATAATTATGGAACAAAGTTTAGTATGCATTTCAAAAGTAAGAAATCATTTTGCTAACTTTCTAAACTGCCACCCCAGAAAACAAACAAACAAAATTCAGATGACAGCAGGTTAAAATTTATATAAATTTATTGTCTTTAAAAAAAATTAGGATGTGTTTTTAGAAACTTTTAGGTTTATTTTCTGCTATCACAGACAATCACATTTGAACTCTGAAAACAGTATTCACAACAGCAATGTTACACCCAGAGGTGAAATTCTGCAGATACCGAGTACTGGAACTTATCTTTTTTCAGATGCTTATGCATTCCATTGTTCCGTCAGAAAGCCTTTATTCATCGACACTCAAATAATCGTTTTTAATGTTTAAACATCATTTTTTTTTCTTTTTGCAAAACAGGTCCACATCACCCAACTGAGTAACTCTACTTTTTTTTGAGAATTTCATCCCTGGTTACACCACACATTTTGCTTCAAAGTTTATCTTTAGGATAATATCATGTATCATGACCTGTTACTTATTAAAAATTACTGAAGTAGAACTCAGATGCTATATTGACATTTCACTATTGCTGGTCAAGTATTACAATATTTTTTGTACTCGGTTGTCTTAGTATCATTACAGCAGCCTGAAACTTAAATATTCCTACTTTTCATGTTACTTGTTCATGTATGTAATGGTTACCATAAATGACCTGAACTACACAGCACAATTTCAAACAAAATTAGATAGCACTTTATGTCTTTTATCTTTATAAGTTTATAAACATATTTCATTAAGACATAGAGCATCTGATTAATTTCCATTAGTTTTTCATCACACTAAACTTTTGTTTTACTTATGAAATATATCAAGGACAGTATAAAAAAAAACACAAAAAATCTAATATCCAAAATACAAACCACTGTTTGACATTTCTATGGCATCTGCATTTCTCTTTTTAATTAGTTCTTTACAATTATCTCCATCTCATACAGAAAAGGTAGTGCTACACATGTTCTAAATCCTGGTTAGATTACATTTGTTGAATTATGTCTTATAAGTATATAAATGTTAGAATTCCATTCTGTTTACTACATGTTTACTGTCTTGAATTAACTTTGATGTTTGATTTAAAAAGTTTTTTTTCAACATTTATATCATTGTTATACATCTTTCACTTACCCAAGTAGGAGTATAAGCATCAGTTTTTAGATATGTTGAGCATACAGCAATGACTTTTCACTTATACTGAACCTTGAAATTTTCTTTCCAATAATGTAAAATTAGTAATAGTGTGCCTTTAGCAGGTTACTTTCTGATAGTGGAGCTGGGTTTAAGAAGACTAAACTTTGAAGGGAGAGGCTTATTTCCCAATCTGAAAAAAAACAAAAATAAGTACATGTAATAATAAAAAAAAGCTAACTAAAATTAATGTAACTTCTCTTATTCATAAAAGCATATCCAAATGAGTTTAGCATGCTTGCATCAAAAAACTTGCTAGTTACCAAGCACTAAACTTGATACTGGAATAACAACAATGGACACAACACTGATGTGCCAAGTGATGAACCATTATAACAATATAGTAAGTATCATTTAACCTTTTTCATTACCTCAGAACACTAGTTACTAAGCCTTCTTTAATACATATGAATGCCATATTTATTGTGCTGTGGATATCCATGTATAACAGGGCTGTGTTTGAAGGGTTGTTCACCAGCAAAGATTTCCAAGGTAATTCTAAACACTTGAAGGTTCATCAGGGCGGCATTCAAACAATGTAAGATTTTTTCTCTTCTTAACAGAAACCATTGACAATGCTTCAATAGTAAACACAAATTAAATGCTACACATGAAAATTCAATCTCTTGATTTGTATGATGCCTATTGCTTTAATAAAAGTTATCGTATTAAGTAAAAACACATACACACACACACACTGTCAAGACATTACACATGGCAGCTCCTATCATGCATTGGTGAAGCACAGGGGTTACCTTTATTAGTTGCATTGCTTCAATACAATGTACTGAATACTTAGAGTATCAGAATTATGAATGTCCATATTTCTTTTCTAATTGAAGTGTTATTGTTACTCTGTTCTATTTTGCTGTTCATTTAGAATTACTTTTTATCATTTATTTATCTTGTTGACACTTTTATCCACGGCATATACTTAATTATCCAACAATGTTGTTTAATAAGAAATGTGGCTGATAAAAACAGTGTTGTACTTGTAACTTTTTGTTATAGTTGAAGCTTTGTATTTATTTTCTAACTCTGTTCTGTTTTGCTGTTAACTTATGATGTTTATTAGGTATGTTTAATTAATCAAAAATTTTATGTTAAATAGACTATGACTGCTAACCTGCTTGAAATGGTAACTGTTAAGACAAAGATGTGTTTCCTTAAGTCAGCTGTGGTTCCTTAAACTGGTTGCAATAAGGTGTTTTTTCAAAGTAAGCTTACTGCATGTTGTTATACGAGTATTGAACATAGCATCAAATACTTGTATATAAACAATATGCATTAATTTTTTATTTAATATATATAAAAAAATTAATACTGTTCCTTATAATGTTAAACTATGTGTGAATTTTTTATTTTACTTATATGGATTACTTGTAAAATAAGTGTTTCCAATCAAATATCAAATACTTATGGTGATGTCATCATTAAATTTTTGAAATTAATACTATTAAAGGTTCGAACCTTTAGTTGGTAATGTGACCTTAATCTTCAAAGGTCAAAACCTATCCTTCATTACAGATCAGCATATACTTGCTTACATGGGACACTTAAATAGCCAATTTTGTATGTCAATCATTTACTCCAATTATCTAGTTCGACAGTCAGTTTTTATATTACTGTAAAAACTGACAGATTAATAAATAATTTTCTCTTATTATTTTACGGGAGAGTTTAAGTAATCAAATGGCAGTGATATTTAATGCTATTTAAGTGCCCCATTTATGCTCGTCTGGTTTTTACCCATTCCCTACTTCACTTTATGAAAACTTTTTAAATATTTTGAAAATTTCTTCCAAATTACAATATCAAAAACATCTAAAAATTGGGTTTATTTTAAATTAAAAAGTAAGTTTGCATTATGTTTTTAAATTAAAAATGAAATGTAATAAATCATGCAAGAAATTCCGATTTAAGATTCACTGTAACGGTATTTTAACACAAGAAACAACAGCTATTATTTCCTACTACTACTAATATTAGTAATACTAATACTCGTCCTCTGCCTAAGTAACTTTGCTCTTGGCTTGTTTTACAAATTATAATTTATAGGTCAAAATACATAAGTAGGGAACTATGTAGTTAGGCCTACTTTAATTCAACTGCAAGATATATCTTACTTAAGACCAAGTCTTCAAGGGTCACAATACGGCATATTAAAACGAGTCATACTCGTATCTAAAACGATTATTTCTTAAGTTATCAAAATTTTTAAGACTTATAAACGTAAGTAGTATCTTATTAACAGTTTAAGCACAATTTTTAAAATAAAACTATCTGGCCACATATATAAAATTTTATGAAATCTGTAGGGGATTCACTTACTCTAGTGGTTTCCAACACCTAATAGTATTAGTAATTTGCTCGACTTCGTACAGTTACAATATAAAATCATGGAGTACCCCACTCGAGCTTTTTTGCACATTCACCTTTACGACACCTATGAGCTACGAAAATGAATATTTATTTGTAATTGTAGTTAAGCGCAAAGCTACACAATGTGCTCTCTGTGGAAAAATCAACAACAAAAATATACTCTATACAGTGTGAAAAATCAAAATGTCCATTTTAATTTCAAAACATTTAAAATATATTTTCATATGTTCTACTCCCCATAATTATAATTTTAGTTTACTTTAGGAAGATGATAATATAAAATTGTTGCGTCGGTATTACAAAATAAAGATTTTCAAAGCAAATAAATTTCGAACAATTTTATGTGAAGTAAAAAAAAAATATTTGCCTGTGTTATTTCTAAATGCGAAGGTTTTTCTTCTAAGGAAACACAAGAAAGAATCAGAAAAGCAAAGCAAAAATTATTTTTTTGTTTTATTTTTTGAGTAAAATACTCACCCACCCTAAGTATTTTAATTGCAATTATTAAGTAAGTATTCGTGAAATATATTATCTGGAAATACAGGGCGTCAATGGCACGATTTTCTAAAATGTAGCACTGGGTAATAACTTTATTTCATTTCCTTATTTATTTACTTCTAAGTATATTTTCGAATAAAGTTCATTCCGTGTAAAATTAATATTTACAGTTAAAATTATATTTTTTTCTTAAGCTATGAAGTTTCAAGGAGTGCATGCTAAGTTGTTGTTGTTTTCGTAGTGCAAAGCTGCACAACGAACCATATGCACTATCTCTACCGCGAGAACTCGAACCCCAGATTTCAGCGTCCCCTTTTCAGGGGTTGCAAAGTCTCTTGAAAAAATTACAATACACAAAAAGTTAATACTAAAATAAAACACTACACTAAATTGTCTATTCAACAAGTCTTGTTGATAGTTTTCTATTCCCAGGCCCTATTATGGCATATTGTTCTTTATTGTCACTGATGGAATTATTCTTAAATAGGTGGTCAGACGAATCTATTGGTGATTACAACCTTGATGATCCTCTGGAAGTAGTTCCGACAGGTTTTCCAGGTTTTTGAGCATGTTGAAGTTCTACTGACAAGTTCTTTCCCGAAGTTACTAAGTTGGCTGTTCCCTCACCAACTATGACAATGGATGACTTTTGGCCTGGATTGCTTATACTCTGAATAACTACTTAACTTTGGAGTTTGTCCTTTCTTGGGACGAGTACTCTTCAGCTATATCATGTTATCTCGATGAAATTCAGTTTTATCAGCACCTATAGCACAGTTTCCTTTAATTTTATTACAAGTCAATTTAAGTATTTCCTGAATAAAGTATTGTTCAACATATTTAATCTTATTCTTCAAATAAAGGAGAGCTCTTCCAATCACAAATCCCTCATACGGCTGTCCCTGTTCCAAAAGACATTCAACAACTGGCATAGTAATTGGCATGAAATACAAAGGGATTTCCTGGTTATTATCTGTAAAGTTATCTGAAACTGGCCTAACCTCATATCCATGTCTCTTCATGAAATCAGTTCCCAATATAAATTCTCCATGATGTCAATTAGCCACACATAGTGAGGCATAGAGAAGTTTCAGACAGTAAAGATAACTTCCAACTTCTCCTTTGTTTGAATCTTATGTCCACTTGTTCTAGATGTCAATCCTTCTATCTTCATTTCTGGAGGCAATTCCACTACCTTCATTAATAAATCGGACCAAACAGTTTTAGCAGTGGAGCCAGTGTCACTCAGCATACTAAAAGGTTTTCCATGAATAAACGTATGGACTCATGGACGATTTTTCTCGAATTAAGAACTTCTTTCTCACTTGATATAGATATAGTATTCTCAATTGTTAATTGTTTACAGTGTCAGCTATAATAGCAATATACCCAACAGTTATAAAATCTCTTGCTTTCTGGTATTATTTGCCTGTAGTTCCTTGTAATATGTCTTTTTCAAATTCTACTTGAAACATATATTTTCTTGTGGTTTATTTCCTTTCTTTTGTTTAACTAGTTGCCTGATTAATTCTTTCAATTCTTCTAGCTTATCTTTATGGGGAACTGATTGTTCAGTATTACAGGATCTAATATTTTTGTAACTTCTAGATGGCTCTGTTAGTAGTTTATTTACAACACTGATGGATTCCAGTTCCATTCCCAACTGCAGATCTTCCTTTAGAGATGTACATTTGCTTCAGCCTGTTATTACATCAATAAGTTGGTCACACACCAACTAATCCATTATTTCACGAGGAACGTCTGGAAAAGATAACTGTGTGAGCTTTTCCAAACATTTTGCAAGTTTAACTAAGGTCTCTTCTTTCCTCTCTACTCTGTTCCGGAACTTTGTTCTTGATACTTACCTCTGGTGGGACACTCTGAACCTGTTGTATAACGCAGCTATAAGCGCTTGATAGTTGTTATGTGGCTATCAGCCTGAAGGTTACTTAATGTTGTTAAGGCTGCAGCTTCTAAATGAACGGTAAGATGAATGGCTTGTTGCTCACTAGCCCACCCGTTCACTTTAAAAATGATTTCAAATTGAGCTCGATATGACTACTATGGTACCTTTTCATAATAGGCTGTTAGTTTCTCGATTGACTGATGTTGAATTGGTTAGCTAAAGTCCAGAATTTGATTTGTTAGTGTTATGGCTAAAGTAGTCCAAAAAGTAGCCCTCCTGTAACAACTGTAGACCAAGTAAGTTCTCCTATAACATATTTTGTAGCAGAGGGTGTTCCATGTTGGAATGCCCCTGGTATGTTGCAGAAAGAAGTCTGACTGGTTTAATCTTCACATTTAAAAATGTGTTTATTCTGTAACTGATGCTCTTTTCTAACTCGTTGATGTCATTTTCGTACATCTGCAAATTCATCATCACAGTCTTTTATTTTTTTGATGTCCTTCTGCACTTGCTCAAACTTGCGGTTATAATTTCTCTTTACATCTTTAATTTTGTCTTTAGTCAGACTTAATTGGAATTTAATTTCTTTAAATACTAATTATTTTTCTTTTAACTCTTACATTAACTTCATGTCCATTTTTTTTTAAATTTTCCGTCTAACTTTTCTTGTTCTTTTATTTATCTATCTCTTTCTTCTAATTTTGCTGTCTCGTTCTTCCTGGTCTTTTTTATTTTTCTATCTCTTTCTTCTTGGCCCTTTTAATTTTTTGTAAATTTATTCTTGATATTCTTTTACTTTTATACCTCTTTTTTCTTGGTCTTCTTTTAATTTTCTGTAGGTTTCTTCTTGATTTTCTTTTAATTTTCCTTACTGCTCTTCTTTAAATTTTCTGTCTTGTTTCTCCTAATCTTGTCTTAGTAATTTCATCACCTCAAGTAACTCCTTGCTCTCACACTTTGACTTCGTGGTCGCCATTTTCAATAGATAAAGTTCTCGAGTATATTCAAAGTTCTATTCTATATTCAACAAAATACTATCCCACTTCTGGTAGCAAAGTAGTAACATTGTTCTTTCGTTGGTAGGGTTCTTTTAAATTATCTGATGAAAATAATTAAACGTCCAATCCACGTAAACTATCACAAATGATTTTATTCCCCACCTTTAACGTTTCGATAACTTTGAACACTCATACACTGTCGTACATTGTTTTAGGTCCGCATTACAAATGGTGTTCAAACCTCTCTGACAATGCTAAGACTAAGTTAATTCAAATCAGTTTCATTGTACAAAGCAATCACAATAGCTAACACACCAAGCGATTTGCTCTAATGTATTGAACAAAAAAACTCTACACTCTCTTAACTATCTCGTATATATAATTTACTTTCGAACATGCTAAAACAATTATGATGCATCCTTACAATTTGCTAGGTGTTCTAGGCATATGTTAGTAAACCTTTTAATTTGAGCATTATCACTCATACCCACAGACCCTTCCAGCTAAAACTATAGTTTGTAACAATACTTTAAAAGCTATGCATGTGTGTATTGGATGTCTCATTCTTTTGCTTTTGTGAGCATTGACAGTGATATAACTTGTTATGATTTTGATTAATCAGGCATTACTTCATAACCATTTGGGTGATACAGACTGGGCTTGTACTAAATGAATTGCTTTGGTACATGAGTTGTTACATGAATGTGTTTATATCTTTATATGGTAAAATAATATAAAATCATTTAGTATAGTTATATCTGCGATTGGTACCTTTGGATGTTTCAACATCGTAAAGAAAAAGCTATATTCATACTCTGGATTACATATATACTTACATATATCAACGTTTTCCGTCTTCCTCTGAGCTGAGTTGAATCGCCATGAAGTAATCTAGTATTTCTAGCATAAAAAATAAAGCTAAAAAAATAGTCAGTATAATAACAACGTAAAAAGCATCTGCACAAATTGATAACAGAAGTCTGAAGGTTATGACGTTAAAAATCGGATTTCAATACCAACAGTGGGCGCAGCACAGATAACCCGTTGCTCAATTAAATTTCATGTTTTCCTACATATTGAGATAAGGTTTAATGAGACTTCGGTTACAAAAGTGTTGACGAAATGAAACAAAAATTATCTGCTGTGAATTGGATAAACTGATCAAATGTGGAACATTTTAAAAATAAATTCTTAAATATTCAAGGTAAGCATGTTCCTTATAGACAAAAAAAAAAGGGTGGCTAGAAGTAAAAAAAAATCATGTTGGCTCATAAAGGGTATAGATAACACTAAAAAAAGCATTATAAGTATGAGTTTAAATTGACTGCAATGGTGAGAGATTTGAAGGATTATAGAAGGTCAAGAGAGTTGGCCAAACGGGAAATTAGGAAACCAAGAAAGGTACATGAAAAGATGTTGGCTGAAAATGTAAAAATTAATACTAAAAATTTCTTCAAATATATTAAGGGTAAGCAAAGTATCAAGGTGTCCTTTGAGTGAAGATGAAGGAAAGATAATATCTGATGATTATGGAATGGCTGGGTTACGAAATTCTACTTTTTATTCAGTTTTTGCTAATGAAGATTTAAGCAATATTCATCATCCTGAACAGTTACGTGATTGAACAAGATTATCATATTAATTCTGAGCTTATAAAAAAAACCAA